TCGGTTTTAAAATCGATTTAAGCTAATTTGAAATGATTTATGCGATTTTAGCCTAGATTTAAAATTTTAAAGAAACCTGGAAGTCTCATTTTTGTGGCTCTCAGCACGGCGTTGTAGCCAATTTCGAAAAAATGGATTTTTGACTTCCCGGCCCCTTTAAACGCGCATTTTTTTCCTGCCCCCAGGCCAGACTACAGAATATAAACTACAAAAACTCCACAGCCACCACTGTTTTTCTAAAATTTGAATTTATTTATTTCAAAATCCCATTTTTTACACCACTACCACCAACAACAAATAACGCTCAGGTTAGGCCACAAACTACAGACTACAAGCTACAACAATTATTTTTTAGACGTTTTTTACATTTAGGTTGAATTTTAAGATTAGTATGGAATTTTAAAGGGATGTGAGAGAGTCAGGGAGGGTAGAGATCGAGGTTTTTGGATTACGGTAGCCCGGAAAATCGGAACGTCTTGGAAATTTCGAATTTTTGAAGTTTGGATTTTTTTGACTTGTTGAAGCGAATTTACGAATTTTTGTCACCTACGAGGCTACAAATTACATTTTTTGGGCTACCGTAACCCGGAAAGGCGCGGAATCTTGATGATTTTCATGGGGAATTTTGTCGATTAGTAGGGTATTATTGTCACCTCATCATGCTTCAGCTCAGTTTCTGACAAAATCGCGAGCGTCTCCTTCATTTTGGCTTCGAGGAGGTCGACCCGGTCGCCATCTACATCCACACGATTTTCCAGCACTTTTCGGGCCCTGCAATTGGCACACCATGCTTTTTTAGTATGATAGATTGTTAAATCGGGTTTTAAAGGCTTTTAAGGTACTTGGAAGTCATGGATAGCTTTCCAAGACTTTCTTATCCCTTTAAAAAGGTTCAATCCGTAGATTTTTTTCCTTCAATGGCCCTTTAAAAGGACCATAAACCTTCAAAAGTTGGTGAGTGAGTGTAAGTGGGTGCAAAACGGAGCATTCACGACATGCAACAATGGACAAAAGGAATGGACAAGAAGATACGATAAAAAAGAGCTTTAAAGGGAGCGTGACAGCACGATTCAGCGAAAAAATTCGTAGTTGTAGAATTTTAAACAAAAGTTTGCGCGCTTAAGACGCTGTCACCATCCCTTTAAAAGTACGAGAGGCTACGAGACGCTCCTAGGCATTACAGAGAACTACGCAAAGCGACGCAACGAAACGTAGCGGAACCTAACGCACGTAGCGCTACGCAAGGCTACGCTAAGCTACAAACAACGTAAAAGTGCGGACCTCTTCGTATTTGCGGTCGGCCTCCTCGGCGACGAGCTTGGCCTCATCGACTTGGACCTCGAGAACGTTGGCCCTCTCCTCATCCTGCTGCGATCGGGTCTCCATCGATTTGCGGGCTCTGTAGATGGACACGACATGTATTGGACACGGGACAACTAGCCGGGGTTCTTGAGGGAATTTTGGCGGAGGCGGGTGGCGCCTAATTACGCTAACGTAAAAAGGTTAAAAACGTTGTTTTTAGAGCAAAAAGTTGTTTTTTTAGTTATTAAGCTGATTCCTCGTTTTGTAGGATACGAAGTACACCTAATTACGGTGAAATCTCAAAAGAATATTGTAATTTTCAGGCTACCAACTACTTAAAACACCTAATTTCATGAAAAATCTTCAAAAAATTCGGTTTTTGCGCTATAAATACGGTTTTTGTATGATTCCGATACCGTTCTATAGAATACAAAATCAGGCTACAATTCCTAGGCTACAAACTCCAGGCAGCACCCGCCTTTGCCAGATTCCAGACCCTTTTTTGCACGGACAGACAACACAACGGTGGACACGGTGGTATTTTTGTGGTAAGCCTAAGCCCAAGCTCAAGCTGTGCAAAAGCTGCGTCTCAAATGGTGGCTGTGCAGCTCTTGCTCTTTCTCTCGCACCGCTCGCTCTCATCAACGGAATGGGTGGTCTCCTCGAGCTTCTCGGTGGCAATCTTCAGCTTCTCCTCAGCCCTCTCCAGGTCCTCTTCAATTTGGATCATCCTCCTGTTGAGGGCTCCGACTTCGGACTCGCTCTGAAATTATGGGATGGTGGGGGTAGCGTACCGTTCGGCCGCATCAGCGGCCTGTGATGCTTCTTCGAGTTTGGCGGTGACGGTCTTCAGGCGATCCTCAGTCCTGTCCAGGTCCTCCTCCACAAGCACGATACGACGGTTCAGGGCGGCAACCTCGGCCTCGGCCTAGATGGAGCATGAGGTACGGTGGTTGGGTTGGTGGATAGGAAAGGCTATATAAGCTACAGACTACGTTTAGAATTAGACTACAAATTACTAAAAAATTAAGAATTGAGCTCGATAAAATGAAAGTAAAAAAACCGGTTACGGTAGTTGGGTCGGTAAATAAGGGGCTACAAACTACAAGCTACGAAACTTCTGAATTTCGCGATGAATGTAAAAGAATAAAATTGCAGTACTTTTGGTATCCTAATATATAGAAAAATCCTACAATATCCGAAAATCCCCATAAAATACAGACTACGCGAGGTTACAAGCTACACCCCTTACGTCAAAAGTATCAACCCGGAATCCCCAGCACTCCTCAAAAATCTCATTTTTTTGTGAATAGTTCCCATCGCCCGTCTCGGGCCCCCATAAATGGCTGGTGTGTGGTCCCATCGGCTTAGCCGATTCAACCGGGGGGCGAGGGCCCAGCTGGGGGCCCTTTTTTGTACCCCCACTAGGGCCCATAATCGGATCCCCCGCCGTCGCATCGGTGCACAATTCAGGAACCCCTCAAAGAAACATCCAGGCGATTTTTGCGCAAAAAAAATTCAAAAAATCTGGCGCCCGGGAGGTTCGAACCCTGATCCTTAGATTCAGAGGCTAGATCACTGGCCACTAGGCCAAGCAAAAGAATTCGGTTTTGAAGGTTCAAAACTTGTTACAACCCTAAGATCAATAAAAGCCCTGGAAAGCTAGCTTAAAAATGGAAAAACAAGCAAAAAAACATTATTTATTGCTGTTTTTCGATGATGGGCGGTAAAAATTCAGATTTAATGGAAGAACATCGACTACAACTCAACAAAGCCATAGCTTCCACTAAACCCTTAAAAATAGTTAGAAAACTATAAAAAATTGATAAAAAAAATTTTTCCGCTAAATTCCAAAGTTCACCCAATGTAAAGAGGCGTAGAACGTAGTAATGACAGTGATAGATAGAGGAGTAGTGGTGCTATAGTTGATACTCACATCTTCCCTCTTCTTCCTCTCCTCCTCGAGCTGTCTCTTGACCTCATCGGCCTCATCCTTGGCGGCCTCGGCCTCCTCCCTAGCCTGTCTCATCTTCTTCTTCAGCACGTCCAAAAGGGACGTCTGCTGCGCGTCTTTGCCCATCTTTGATGCCATCGCTGCTGTCTTGTAGATTCACCCCTGGAGCCGGTACGGTAAGATACGATAGAATACGGTAGCAAGAGCATGGTTTAGAGAGTGAGGACATTAAATAGAACGAAAGTAAACATAATTTAGTACTATTTAAACTCCAAGTTTCTCGAAAAGCCCGAAAAATCAATAAAATTCCCCCCAGGGGCAGAGCTGTTATCTCGCAAAACGGCGCGATGTCGTAAATTCTGAGTCATCCCCCGAGGGGGTTCTAGGCCTTGAAAAATAAGCAAATCAAGACGCGGCTTAAATTTCTGGATCTAAAGATGGATCTCCTGAGCGTAAGGATTAAAATTGAGCAAAAAGCAAAAACTTCGTCGCGAGGAGGATTCGAACCAGCGCCACGAGATTTTGAGACAAAACCACTAGCCACTAGGCCAAGCGCGCAACGTGATCAGCAAAGGATGAAACTCAGAAAAATCTAGGTCCCGAGACTAATGGCCCGAAGCGTTCCGATCGACAGCAAAAGTCGCGTGTGGGTGGTGGGCAATGTTCGAAGGGAAAGAGGGGAAAAGCCTAGGGATTATGGCGGGGGGCAGGCCAGCTGGGGGGAAAAGCTGAATCAGCTGCTAGAAAAACACGGAAATCGCGACGCCCCGGCCATTTTTGGGTGGATACAAAAATTGTAAAAATGGATACTTTAAAAATTCAATAAAATTACCTAGAAAAATCAGTAAAACCAGCCAGAAAAATTATGCAACAAAACACAGGTGAAACTGCGCTAAAACAAGCCCGTTTTTCCATAGTTGGTACATCCAAAATTTCTTAATAAGCCTTATACACTATTAAATTCCCTATAAATTCGATAGAAAAGGCAGAAATTTTTAAAGACTTAAATCATTAAATTAAGCCACAAAAAGTACAGGTGATCGATGCGGGGCGGAACCGCTTTGCTTTGCATTTGCCCATCGGGGTATATAGCGGGGAGGGCGAGAGAGAGAGAGAGAGAGAGACGCCCGGGAAACACTGCCAAAAAAGGGCTGCTGCAGGGAGGGGGAGAAGCTTTCGGGATGCGGTGAAGGCCGATGGCAGAGCCGTGCGGGGTGAAAACTATAAAATCCCCCCTTTCTCTCTCTCTCCTCTCTCTCTCTCTCACTCTCTGTCTCCCTCTCTGTCCCTCTCGCATGGTTAGATAAGCCGTAAAGGATAGACTAGCCAAAACCAGCTAAAATTGGAGGGAAATCGGTGAGGAATTTGTGGAATTTATGCTAATTTCTGGATGCTCAGGAGAGCTGAAAATTATAGGCAGGCTAGCAGAGATCATTGAGGAGGAAAATAACTTTTTTTAAGCGGACTAGCCAGCAGAGAAAATTTAAGAATCTCCTCATTAATGGTAATCTAGGGTATCTAGCAGAAACCCCTTAAGAACCGCCAAAAATTTCAATTAAATGGCCGCACGGAAATGCAAAGGTAAGGGGTGGAGGGTATGTTGAGGTCCTTCAAGAGGGGGAGGCTATTTGTGGTATGGGTGAATGGCGAGAGAGAGAGAGAGAGAGAGAGCGAGAGATCGTTGCGGGGCTTCGATTGCCCTTTTCCGTCCGATTCCTCTTTTCGGGCTACGCGACACTCCGCCTGGACCGCCCGGAGGAGGGGCCCCGACATGCAAATGACTCATGGCCCGAGGGTGGAGCGCGATATTGGCATCGGGCCAGCGGTTTTAAAGGGTTTGTGAAGGTTGGGGTGTGGATTTTTGGGTTTCCGATATTTTTAAAATACGGTAGAATCCAAAAATCTTAAACAAGGCGAAAAATTAGAATTTTTGACTTGCCGGTCCCTTAAAATTATCGAATTAGGACATTAATCTCAAAAAAAATGAAAATTTTCTGACCTTGTAGTCCCTTTAAAATTTCCCCAAACGTTACAGTAACCTAAAAATTCAGATTTTTTGACTTGCCGCACCCTTTAAAGCTCAAATTCCTACAGTAACCCTAAAAAAGAAGATTTTTAGTTTTCAAAAGCCTCTTCCACCCGATTTTTAGCTCGTTCAGGCCAGGCCGGCCAGCTGTGTGTGTGCTGTTGGTGTGTTTTTAGGGAGACCACCGGAATGGAAATGTGCCCCCCCTTCCTTTTCTATTCATTCCAACCAAGGCCATTTCTCGGGGGGTGAAGAGGGGGGTTGGGGGAAATGCATTGAGTAGCCATGCGTAGTCGACGCCCCATAATTTACCAGGGTGATTAAAGGGATTGGCAAGTCGGTAACTTGCATTTTTGAGGCTATGGCAGAAACTTAACCATTTTAATTGCATCGAAACGGCAAAAAAATCTTTTTTTTTGGATGATGTTACGAATTTGGCGTGTTTTAAAGGAACCGGCAAGTCAGAAATTTGACTTTTAAGTGTGTTTAAGGACTTTTAAGGGGGCAGGAAAGAAAAGTAGAATTCTAAAGGGGCTCCCAAGCCAGAAAAATATTAAGAAACATAAATTAGATTGGATTTGGGGCTACAGTACCCCGGGAAAAATACAAAGAGCGGAATGCCACGGAAAAATGGGCCCCTTGGTTGGTCTGGCCTCGGCTTTCAGATGGTAGATACCGGTAGGCTTAACAGCGAGAGAGAGAGCGAGAGAGAGATTGAAAAGAGAGGCGACCATGGACCCCGTTGTGTGTGGGAATATTTGACATTGCGCTGCTAGGGCCGGGGGTGGGGGTGTTGGGGGGTTGATGAGTGATTCGCAGAAGCGAGAGAGCGAAAGAGAGTGAGAGAGATAGAGAGAGCGATTCAGAGTTTCTGCAAGAGGCCAGAAGCCGCGCGGACTGTTTGCCGCCCCCTGGTTTGTCAAGAGGAGGCCCATATTCCGGGCAGACAGAGAAATTACCGCCGGACGGAATTATCCGACAAACAAATTCTGGGGGTCGCAGGAGACCGGTCTGCTGAAAAATGGACTTTTCTAGGAGAATATGGTAGATAGAGCTAGTTTTAGAAAACGGAAATTAGGGTGGATTCCGCAAAAAATCTCTGCTAGATCACTTGAAAATGCAAGAATCGGGCTCGAAAAGCGAAAAACTCGAAAATTCTTCAAAAAGCTCGAGAAAGAAAAATTGCTGTTTTGTGGCCAGAATCTAGAGATTTTCCTAAGGAATCTCTGCTAGCTTGCCCGAAGTTTCGTGCCCTAAAGCACCTCTGCTAGCTTGCGATCACGACATGTGCCGGCCAGCCTCGAAAATCCTCAAAAATCTCCGCTAGCTTGCCCCGAAAAACTAAAAAAGCCTCTTCAAATCAAGAAAAACGCCTTTTAAAGGACCATTGAAGCAAAGAAGACAACTAGAAGCCGCAGAATATTGCCAGGGTGAAAAGTGAGGGGCAGGCGGGGGCGGAGTTTTGAGGGATTCGAGAAGGGAAGGGATGAGGGGATATGAAGGGATCTGCTTCTCTATTTACTGAAATGCCGAAATGAGAGAGAGAGAGAGAGAGAGAGAGAGAGAGAGAGATGGAGAGACTAGGCTCGAACTTGGGGCCCTCGAGGTGCCCGACTCGAGTGGGGTGCGCAGGCGGCGGGGTGGCGGCAAAATTTTGGAAAGCCAACTAATCTTTTTGGGGGCTTAGGGGGCTTGGCTTAGGCTTAGGTTTAGCTTAGGCTTTGGAGTTGGGCTTGGGCTTAGGTTTTGGCTTAGCTTCTACGTGTTAATGAAAGGTCAGCAAGGATAGCTAGCAGAAATCCTTGAGGAAACACTTCAGTCCAGAAAAATTAGTGGGAAACGCTATTTAACGAGCCTTGCCAAGCTACCCCGTCAATAGGTGCAAATCGGAGTGAATATTCCCGGGCCGATCGAGAATGTAGATAGGAGGGGAGGGGATCCCCCCCCCCTCCCGGCCATCCACCCCAACAACGGCTTATGCAAATTTCGAGCGTGTCGATAGGATGTATGTGGAAAATATTCATAGAATTAGTAATTTTAGTATAATGAAGGGACTAGAAATTCTAAGAAGGCAGGCTAGCAATGATTCTTTAGGAATATTCATCCTAATCTGCAAGTTAAAAAATGCCAAAAAATTACAGGAAAACTAGCTGAGATCATTGCGGAAAATTCGATAAACCCCAAAATATGATAAATTTGGCTATTTCCGTGGGAAACTAGCAGAGATGCTTCAGGAATTTCCAGCTACACGACTACCAAACCCGCCAAAAAACAGCCGAAAGCCCTCGGGGGGTACATAATCATGCGGAATATGGGGGTAGGGGAACCGGTTGCTCTCTCTCTCTCTCCTCTCTCACTCTCTCGCGGCTCACACCTCAAAGAGCCACCCAACTGGCTACAATATTCTCATATAAGGGGGGAGGAAGAGCTGGTGCTCACCTCAAAAGGATGGGCTCATTACAGGGAGGGCTCTCTCTTTCGCTCTCTCTCTCTCTCTCTCTCTCTCTCTCTCTCTCTCGCCCACCCATCCACAAAAGGAACACGTAGCCCCTAGCGGGGTACAAAAGGGTGAATAAGTAGTACCAGACCGGCCTGCCGGCCCGCCGGAAAGAGGAATGTCCCGGAAAATGTGTACTCAGGGGGCAGGCTAGCAGAGATTCTTCAGGAAATGGAAGTCAGGATAGCACTGTTTTTTTCAGGAATTTGACTAGCGGAGTGAAAGCTAGCTGGTTTTAGTAATGGAGTGAAAGCTAGCAGAGATTTTTGAGGAAAAAAGGGGGCAAGCTAGCAAAGTTCTTTCGGAATCGCGTCGGGTGAGGGCAGGCTAGCATAGACTCTTTAGGAATATCCTATGATGAGGGTAAACTAGCAGAGATTCTGGCCGAATTCATTAACTCCCCAAAAGTACAGAATAACTACAGTAACCCCGAAAAGGCCAAGAGTCATCCCGTTCCGAACGGCTCCCATGAACACACTGAATAATGCTGAGGTCGCGGCAATAAGAAAGGAGAAGCTTCCGGAGAAGGTGACTGTCCCCCGCCCAGCGCGTCACATGCTAAAATGTGCCCTCGCCATCATAGGGCGGGGGTTAGGGGTGCGTCAAGGGTATGGTAGGGGACTGTCTCTCTCTCTCTCTCTCTCTCTCTCTCTCTCTCTCTCCCTCTCTCCCTATTTGTCTGCCACAATTCTTCTTTTGTCTCGGCCATTAGGCGGTGTGCACCCCCACCCACCGGTTATTCACATTGTTCGCGGTGGGACCCACAGTCATGGCGGTGGATAAACAGTGCCCTTTTATGAAGGCGGACACCTAGTTGGGGACGAGAAAGGACACCAAAACATTAATTTTTGGTCAAGAATTGTATTTTATGGTTAAATTCTGGTCGGTGTGGCTTGGGCTTGGGCTTAGGCTTGGCATACGCTTAGGCTTGGCTTGGACTTAGCTTAGCTTAGCTTAACTTGGCCTGACCTTAAAATAGTTCTGAAGACAGGCTAGCAGAGATCTTTTCGAAACCCCTATTTTTAGCCAGTCCTTGTCAGCTTTAAGCAACTTTAAAGGGACTGGAAAGGCTGCAATTGAGGACTCATCTTTCCTAGCTGTCGCGGTCCCTTTAAGGCTTCAAAACACATTTATCATAGCTTTTAAATGTCATATAAAACCATACATCCCATTGGCAAGCTAGCAGAGATTTTCGGAGTATCAGACCCACCAGGGGCAGGCTAGCAAAGACCTTTTGGCCCCGAGCCAGCCATTTTCCTGACGATCAAAGATTTCCCATCAAATTCCGCGTTTTTTTGGATAAATTCCGCTGGACACCTCTGCACATCTCCCGCCGGCTGGCCTCAACAAAATCTGTTTGCCGACCGTTCGCCACAGATCCCTTTCGGAGGATGGCAAAAGCCCATGGGGGTCGAGATCTCTCGGTGAGAAGAAGCTGGGGAAGGTGGAGGGGACTCTCGGATTACACTATAACCCCGTGTTGCTCTCTCTCTCTCTCTCTCTCTCTCTCTCTCTCCCTCTCCCTCTCCCTCACCTCAATGTGTGAACAGAAATAGTCCACAAAAAGGTTACGACTTGGGCTTTGAGGGAGCCAAAATTTGAAGGACAGTAATATGACGAAATAGCGTGCATTTGAAATTGATAGCAAACCCTCCTAAATGATCTCTGCTAGCTTGCCCTGATTTTGAATTAAATTTCAAATGTTAATGACAGTTTCTATTAAAAAAATCTGGATTTCGGGCTCCAATGCCTATGGCCGAGTGGCTAGTGATCTTGGCTGTCTACCCAGGGGTCGAGAGTTCAAATCCGTAAGCGCTAGATTTTGGTTTTTGATTTTTAAGCTTTTTAGGCCAATTTTTGGCACGGTCATGTGGTTAGTGACCTTGGCTATCTTTCCAGGGGTCGGCGGTTCAATCCCAGGCGCGGTCGCATTTTTTGCTTTTTGGGTCCGAGCTTCTCCACGATTCCTGGGATCAGAAATCGATGGGGTTACGTGGAATGGATGGGGGATCGGAGGAGGGGGCACGTAGTTTAGGGGCCAAGTTCTCTCTCCCTCCCTCTCCCTCTCTCTCTCTCACTCACTCTCACTCACTCTCACTCTCACTCTCTCTCTCCACTCTCTCGCCTCCGAGTTCCGAGGATGAGCCCCCTGTGGTGGGGTGGGGGCTGGCAATGCGGGGGAGAGTGTTAGGACCCAGGGCCCGGGCGGGTCCCGTTGTAAGGACAAACAGCCCATCCCCCCTGCCTGCTTCTTCTTTCTTTTCCATTTCTTTCCTTTCTACAATCCACCCCCTCTTCTAGAGACAGACACTCCATGAGCCATACCAGACCCCCCCTCACCCAGCCCCAGCCCCACACGCTTTACCAAGCATCGGAAACATCGATTCAGGGGATCGGGTTTTGATTGATCGGAAAAAATATGAAAAAACGAGTAAAGGCATTAAAAAAAGATTTTCTATAGATTTTGGTATGGTTTGATTGGTAGGAAATTCAGCAAAAGGCTAAAGCCCTCAAAAATCATTTTCTATCGATTTTTGAAAAATTCCAATTCGTGGTGGGACCGAGCTTCTATTGAGAGAAATTGGATTAAAAACCGATAAAGGTATTTAAAAAACACATAATACGATCAAAGGCATGAAATAAATTTTTTAAGCCGATTTTGGCATAATTCAAATCATGCCGGTTTTTCTCTCGGAAATCATGGAAAAAAGATAAAGCTTTAAAAGAATTATTTTCTATCGATTTTCGCATAATACAAAAAAATATCTCCTAAAAGCGTACTCGATTATATCCGTAAGTTTCAGATCTAAAAATCTCTGAAGTTTCAGAATCGAAAATACAGATAAAATAGTGATAGACTATCCAATTACGATAGGAAAATAAGTGAGGAAGAGCATGAAGCACGAAAAAATCGATACAATATTTCACAATAAAAATTCAGTCCAACCCAGCCCAGAGTCAAGTCCAAAATTAAAAGCCGCGTACCTGCCGTATCGTATCGTGCTTGTGGATTCGGATCCTGAAAGGCTGAACACCGCCGGAAAACCCGGCAAAAACACCGTCAAACTCGAAAAACTCGTAAAAGCTTGAACTTACGGCTTCGACCTTCTTCTGCTTCTCCTCGAGGAGGCGTTCGGCGGCTTCCAAATCGGTGGTGGACTTCTCGAGCTCCTGCTCAACATGGCCGACCTTCTTCTGGGTGTCGCGCAGCTCCTGAAACGGGTTGGAAATTTTTTCAAGTAAGATTTTTGTTTAAAAAATTATCGCTGAAATTGGCGCGCTAAAACATACTTTAAACCGGAAGTTTAGCCATATTCTATAGCCATTTTAATGCTCAGAAAAATCGCATAAAATCCAGATAATTGAATAAACTATATAAACCAGGAATTAAGCTACTATCAACCATACAAAATCAATAAACTTTTCATACCTCTTCAACGCGCTCGAGCTTGTCCAAGCACTGGCGCACCTTCTCTTCGGCGGCATCGGCGCGATCGAGGGCGTTATCCTGGAATTTAGGTCAAAATATTGATCGAATCGATCGATATCTGATTTAAAACGGTTTAAAAGTATAAATGATCATCTTGCGATTTTTAAAAACAATGATTCTTGCTTGAAAATCCACTCAAATCGATGGATTTAACCCTTCTTTTTTTAATAAGTTATTACAAGTTATTCTTTATTTAAAGAATAAGTTGAAAATTCGGAAACTACATTAAACACCAAAAAACTATTCGGCTTTTCGAGCTTTCAACCTTTCCTCCTCCTTTCTATTCGGTCGTCGATTTTAACGAAATGGCATTCTCGATTAAGAAAAGCTGAAAACGTGAAAATCTCGTGAACACCTATTAAAATATCGATCAACCCCCTTTTTCTGCTTTCTAACACTTTCTCCATCATTTCCCAGGTCCAAAAATTCGCAATTCCAGCGCGAAGAGTTTGTCTCGGGGTGCCCCAGCCATGTTTTGTCATCCAAAAACAAAAATGAGTCGGCCTCCGACAACATTCGGGCGCTCGGCGCTCCCCAGAAAAGTTTCGCCAAATGACAAAAACGAATTGGGAACGGCTAGAAAAGGAAAACGTTTAAAACCATCAAACAAAGCGCAAAACCCGCTAAAACAAACCTTCTCGATCTTCATCGCCTGCATCTTCTTCTTGATGGCGTCCATTGTTGCTGAAAAAGCTTTGTTAAAGAAGAAACCGATCAAGGAATGAATATTTTCGTTTTTATACCTGGCCGGATTTTAAAATAGTTCTTAAAGCCTTTCCTTTGTTTTTAAACGGCCTTAGAAACCATTAGAAACCCTAAAATTAGGTTAGAAATCTAGGGAATCAACATCAAAGTTTTAAACCAAAAACTACAGGTTTTTAAACCCTTGGATTGGTTTTAAAAGTGTGTAAAAATAGGTTATAAAGCTCGTACTAAACGTGGATAGCGTTTCTTAAAAATAAAAATATACGTTTTAAAATCTATGATTGGTTCTAAAAGAACTAAAACCAGGCTACGAACCGGTTAAATTTTATACCAAAATTTTACAAGTGAGAAATTTACACTTTTAAACATAAGGACTGACTCAAATAGGCCTAGAATTCGTTAACCGTAAGTCTTTCTAAAATAATATAAAACAGGCTTCGAAGCCCTAGAATCCGCCTAAAAGTCAGGAAACTCACAGTGTATCTGGCGATCCATATTCCCGAAATGAAGTACAGTTTGGGGAGTAAACGCGTATTTTATGTCTAACAGTAGTAGGGGAGCAGCCCCGGCCAAAAAGGGTGCAATATCGATAACGCAAGCGCAGGAACGGGGTTTTGTCATGCTAGGCCCGGGCGCGCTATCACGTTTTTGCCGCGGCCGTATGGGCATCAAATTCCGGGCATAGTTTTGCCATCTACCATGATTTTCTAGGGAAATAGCCATTAGAAAGTATAGGTAAAATTGTTTTAGCAAGCCTGGAGCTAACTAAAACGAAGCAAAACTGCCAATTTTTTTGAATTTTCGCGGATTTTAAGGTAGAAATAGACCTAAAACTACGCGAGGCGAGGCAAAGCGAGGAAAAGCTATTAATCATCTATGGCCTCAAACTATCGCTAAATTCAATAAAAAAGACGCTAAGCGGTAAAAAGAGCCAAGCAGAAGCAGGTAAATATAAAAAAGTTAAAGTTATATACTTTTGAAAGTCAAAATCCAGAAATTTTATTAATTTATCTACAGCCAACTGAAAGACAGGAGTTTAATATTAAAAACCATGGATTTTCTATTTTTATTTATCTTTTAAAGGGCTCAGAAAGGCAAAAATTTATATTGACTGGACACGCAACGCGCGCCGCCCCTCGTACAGGGACGAAAATCCTTTCCAAAATTAAGGGGCGACCGGACGCGTTACGTGTCGCGGCAGAAAAAACGATAGAATCCATGGCCAAAAGCCATTTTCGTGCCTTGCCGGTCCGTTTAAAGGACAAGCCAACTGCTAGTAATCAATAGCCAACAAAATCCATCATAACGCCTTTCTCGGGATCCTTTAAAGGCACAGCGACAGGCCGGGAATACAGTACCTGTGGATTTGTGTCGCGGAGAGGGGGTGCAGCCGCAAAGGGGGGAGGAGGACGAGCAAATGAAGGGAGGGGAGGAGCAGCAGCAGCAGGAGGAGGAGGGCCATGATTCAGCCCTCAGGGCACACAGGCCCCACCCCTCAACTATCAACAAGATGCCACAGCAACAGGCAGCCCAGGCAGCCACTTCTCGGCTAAATTCGAAACATTTCGGGCATGGGGGGTGGGCAATTAATCGGAGGCCTAAAAATACCAATTTTACAGTAAAAAAAAACTTTTTAATCCACTTTAAAGAGAATTTTTGGCCTAATAAAAGCGCCGCACTCGCTGGCACTATGTAAGAAAAAGGGAAAATTAACCAGATAAACACACGCAAAGGACGTTATGTAGTTGGGCGTCGAAAACGCGATGATTCTATAGATTGATGACACATTCGCGATTCCGCAGATTTTTCAGAATTCTAAAAGTTTCAATTTTCCAGCTTCTCCAAGCTTCAGTAGCTTTAGAAACATCAAGAACGTCGCCGATCACTTTACAGTCTTCTAGATATTTTTCGGTCTGTTACCAGTACCTAGAGATTTACTCCGTTTAGAGGTTCTAAAATTTTCTATTTACAATTCTTCAGCGTTAGGATCTTCAAAAACATCCAGAACTCCTCCAGTCACTTTAAAACGCCTCTTTTTTACGCCTTTTTCAACCTGTCACCAGTACTTTTCGCTGTCTACCACTACCACCCCCTCCGCCATCCACTTATCCAACCGAGATGCCCTCGGGCCATATAGCTCCTCTTGCTCCACCTCCTCGGGCTTTTCCACCCACCGACTAGGAGGGGAGGGCCAACTGACGGCCTTATTCCCTCCTCTAGCCACCCCTTACACTGTGGTGTGTGTGTCGCGTAGAGGGACAAAACTGGAGCCACGGAACAGACAGACAGAGAGACGGACAAATCCACAAACATACTGCCTCAAAAACGATCGTCGAGCCGCACATGTTTCCTTGGATCGCTCCCGCTCGAGGTCGGGGGTGAATTTATGGCAATCGATGAAGATGGCTGGAAATAGTGGAGAGCATTAAAAAAACGTTAAAAATATGTAAAAATATTTTGGCAATATTTTAAACAATTTATCAACTAGTAATAACGTTTGTCTTAAAGTAAAGTAGCAACAACGGGGAGATATCGATGAATAGAACAACAATCAGGGTATGAATCAAGGAATAACTTTGGACAACAGTGATAATCATAAAGCATTAAAGTTAAAGCTTGTTAAAATGAGTGCATCGTCCGGGGGAAATCACAGCGCACACGGCAGCATAAAGAGCAAGCCCGCCTGGCCGCCCGTCACCATCACCGGGTCATCGCCGTAGCTCGTCGCGACGACGTTCAGGCTTTCCAGTCGTAGATCACCGCACGAAGCCGTGCCGTGGTGCATTGGTACCTAAAAACGGTATCCAATTTTTGTTATATTTCATACCCGATCGCATTCAATCGTGTTAACATCGAGCCAGCTGTACTGCTGGGCTGTTTCGTGAGTATCATGGAGTGGGGGTGCGATTCCAGGTTCTTTGGATGGTAGGTTAATTCGATACCTAAAAATCCGATATAGAAAATTTCAGGATGTTCTACCTCGTCAATTGTAGCGCCTTCCGTTGGGCAGAGAAGGTAAAGTCCATCATTGCATAGGCGGGGGCCAATCGACCATTTGTAGAAACGAGAAGCGCGCCTGAAATTTGGTAATAAAATAAACCCTTAAATCAATTGTAAAAACTACTTAAAAGTAAAAACAAAAATTTCGATATTTTTGGTTGTGAAGGTTGCATATTTGTACAGATTTCAATTAAACGGTATATTTTTTGAGCATAGGAATGATAAGAAAAGTGGAGGAATATTCATTTGTTTATATTCGAAAATGGGACTGATTTGCAAAAGCTTGTGTGGCCCCCCGATATTGCGAAAGATCCAAAATTCCTACCATCAACGCCACAGGAAACGAGAAGCCCATTCGTCGCACAGGCAGCCACATCAAAAATTTGGAGTTCATGTCTAAAAAAAGTTGCAAAAAACAAAAAATTAAAGTTACCGATTGCTGAGCGGCACAACGAAATATCCATCATTCTTTTGGTCGGGCACCAGATAACAGACACCGGCGAACGTCGAATCGTTCGTGGCGAAGGGCTCGGCCTGGAAAAGAAATGAAAATGAGGGATAAATCTAAATGGACCTGGAAAATGAAGACACCGGGGAACAGACGGAGCTGGGTTGCAGCTTTCGCGCCGGCAGTTCGGACCTAAAATTGGTCGTCAAAATGAGAGCCGTATTTCTTTTACCGTAGTTTCTTCCAGCAGGCAATCGCCACTTTTTGTGTCCAAAAGCCGGATCGTGCGCTCGCGGAACGAGACGGCGACTAAAAAGAGCAGTAGATAACTGAGAAAAAAAAGCGTCATGGCGTCAATAAGTAAGCAAAGCCCTCACGCGTCCGTTCACTATTCCAACACGCGTCAACAGCCGGCGAGCTCCATGTATCGGCTATCATCTCAGCGCCGAGTAGCCCCTCATCCGTCACGTACTCCTTCTTCGACAACTCCCAGAAGACGATCGCGCCTGGAATGGAAATGATCCGCTACTAAAACGCGACCGAAAAAGCATTCAGCTTGGAAGGCCCGCAGAGGTACAGCGGATTTTGGCTATTTATGTGTCGACAAAAAGCTCTGGAAAAGACGAGAAAATAAGCACATGCCTTTTGTTTTCGGATTTTAATTCATGCTCTTAATACCGAAAACCATCATTAAAACCAATAACAAATACGAATATACCTGCAGCGTTGACCGCCGCAATCAAATCACCGCCCTGAGAGAACGTCCAGTCTAACGAGATTATGGGCGGCACACCGAGGGGCTAAGAAATAGTTAGACCCTTCAAAAAAAGGCTTACAGCCGATCCCTCCTTCCACTCGGGAGAATCCTGTTGACACAACACAATGTTCGGCTTCGGCGCGTACAGCGGGAACTTGCCCTCCACGGATTTGCATACCCCGTCCGCCAGCCGGTAGATCAACACCTTTCCGCTGGCCGTGGCCACTGCCAGGTAGCCAATAGCGTCAATATCTTAACAAATTGAACGTTTTCCGCTCCAGCGCTTCGGAATACCTTTTTCGGGCGTGTTGCAGGGTTTCGCGCACCATTTCAGCTTCATCACCATGCCGTGGCCCTTGATCTGCACCATGCAACAGGGGCGGAGGGCGGGTTTTCTAAGAACAATCTGGGTAAAGAAGGGGGGAAAATCAGTTACTTCTCCGGTACCCTGATGACGTTCCAAATCTGAAAGTAGCCGTCACCGCTTCTCCAGCCATTTCCACTTCCGGTCAGGGTAGAGTCATCTGGGTAGACGGACAAGGCGAGCACGCTACTTCCTAAAAACAAGTTTTCCATAAGAAAAACCAATGAACCATCCAATCTAATTGTTGCCGAAAAATCGGCGCTGTTCACCGGGCCGCCCACGTAGCTGGCTGATGCCCAATCGGTCACCGGGTTATTCTCGTCGTGATTCTCCTAAAATTCAGGATTTCCCTAGATTCGTAAAACTACCTGCTCTTGCTCCCCTTCCCTGCCGATCATCAAGTTCTCCCCAAATTTGACCCTCGAAAGATCGTGTGGTAGCTCAGTGGGTGGTAGAGCCTTTATCCTGCCGCAAGCCTAGATCCATCCGCGTAAAAATAATTTTCCAACAAACCGGCGGTCCCTTCAGCCGATCCTTCTTCTCCGGCGGCGGCTTTCTCGGGGTGGCCGGGATTTTCCCGCGTCGAATGCCGATGCTTTCCTTGGCGCGGAGCGAGGCGATGTATTCGCTAGAAAAAAACATACTTTTTAGAACACAAAAATACCTATCCGGCACCTCTACCCAGCTGACAGTCGGGATTTCGAGTAGGGGATTTGTGAACGGGCTGTTCATCACCTAAACAAGGCGTACATTTTGTTTTAACAAACACAAAAAACATTCTAACACAAAAAATTACCTCCTCTTCCCAAGCCCGTTGACATTCCCAGATTGCTCTTTGGTAGCGGCCGAGATCAGCTTGATTTGGGACAGTTTCTGGAAAAATGTATTTTACAGAAATACGAAGAAAAGTTTGTTGCTTTTGATACAAAAATCACAACCCACCAGTCACGTCCAATTTCCGAAATTTGAATCGCAGCGTACCACCCCTTCCGACGGAGACACGAGAGCTCTTTCCGGGTATTAGCCCACCAGAGATCGACGGCATTTCACGGTGTTTAACCAACTATAGAAAGATATTATTTATAAAAAAATAATTCTCACCTTTCCAGCTGCATTCATCTTTTTCCTTGATCCTATAGCCGTCAAGAACTTGTTAATCTCCTTGTTGCCCTAAATATTGATTTAATTAAGTAGATTTCTAAGTGAAATTACCCCAATGGCTATTTCAGCCGTAGCCGTAGGATGAAAATCTGGATCGTTGTGGTCGCCATCAGCATCTGCTCTCTAAAAACCAAGCTATTAAAAATATATCTGCTTCAAATACCCTTCGTTTCGGCACTCGTTTGGGCCTTGCCTCGCCGACGTATATTTCTTCGGGTTGGGGCTCCGGTTCGGGTTCCAGGGCCGGCTCTTCCTCCTCCTCCTCTTCCTCGCTTTCACTAAAAAAAGAAGATTTTTAGGACCTAAAAACGTACGCTTCTTCTTTGACAAATGTGCGTCCCTCGGAATTCATAGCTTTTCGCCGCTCCTCGCATTCTACATCCAAGTGTTGCCTGGACAAAAAAAAGAGATTAACAAATATAAAAGCCTTACTTCGATAGCGATTGGGTCGAGGCAAAACCGCAATAATGACATTTCCAAGGTCGGTCCTAAAGAAATCTCCAACTCAGAAAAAATGGATTACTTCAGGGTTACGGCCACAGCGTAGCACGTGGTATTCGGCACCGTATGGCGTCGTGATCACTTTGCCGCAAGCGTGACAGACGATCTAAAAAGTACTGTAATTCGAGAATTGCTGTAATAAATACCTTCATCGACTGGGTCACAGTGCCTCTGACTATTCTGCGAAACTCGCGATCGGGCAACGATTGTAGATCACTCAGCCGACCCTTATAGCGATCATATTCGCTCTGTGGGGCCAGGCAAAAGGCCAGATGAGCAGCACCAGCCCCGGCTTCCTCGTAAGTCGCACCGCAACCCGGGCAGGCAATCACTAAAAATAATATTTACTAAAGTTATAATTTGCTCACCATGCTCCAATGCTAGGATCTCCTTCGCTAGATTATTCTGGAGTTGTGGCGTCAAGAGGACGAACAGATAGGGCGTTTTCTAAATGGAAATTAAGGCTGTAAAGGGCAGCTTACCTCAAACTCTGTAATGGAGAGATCAGGCTTATAAGAGCTGCGGCCGCCACGACGAGGCACTTTCTTTGGGGTGACTGGGATGAACTCTTCTTTATCGTCCTCTTGTATGCCCTTGCAGCTGAAATTTAATGTTTTTTTTCCAGAAAGCAATACTAAACGTCTGAAGTAATAAATTAAACCCACAGTTTTGCATGTTCCACCACCGTCTTGCTTTCGGGAAAGGGGCGCTCGCAGTCCAGACACTTCAACGGGACGCCAGTTACAGAACCTAAAAATGGAATTAGAAAAATAAACAGACTAAAAAGTCAAAGAATCCGTGCAAAAAAACTCACTACAATAGTTAAAAGCCGCATTCGTCAGCTTGATTTGCTCCCAACGCCTCGGAAAGTAGGCAAGCAGCACAGCATTTGACTAAAACACTTAAATTTGGCTGCCTATAAAACTTGATACCCGTAGCAGCAAATACTGATTGTAGCACTCTTCGTCGGTCGCCGTTTTCAGGTTCAATTTTTCCTCGCCGGTGAAGCCAGATTGAGAGGTACCGGGCTCCTGCTTCACCGTGCCTTCTAAAGAGATAAAATTTTGATAAGAACCTCAAATTCTTCGGATCATAATGCACAAAGAGACGCACCCATAGGTTGTACATCCTTTACATCCTTGAATGCAGCCTTCAGCAACACACGTCTCGACATTTACCGTGATTAGAGCCAAGTCTAAAAGTATCTTCGTTAATGTGAAGTTTTATAACGAAAATGGGGATGAAGTATGGCTGCTACAAATGTAGGAAAGTGGGAATCGGTTGCAGTGATGTTGCGCTATCAACAAATCCCAGTTCAATAAATATAATTCGAAAACCGAGGAAAGGGGTCGAACCGACATATCAAAACCTTTCAGCCGCGCGCGTTACCAATCGGCTACGCCTCTCTGCACGCATTCAGCCCGCCCATGGCAGCGCCCCGTACTACCCCGCTCTCCCACAGTTAGCTTGGAAATACTCAGTTTTTCGCAGGATGCCCAACCATTTCGTGTTTCTTTCCAAAACTCCATTTTTGCCAAAAAACACATTTATTCACAGGGGCAAAAGAATACACGTCAGATATAGTCGGAAAAATCAAGGCACTTTGTGCCGAACTTAAAAAACGCCAACCGGGCAAGAATTATTATGGGGGCATAGAGGCATCACAAGAATAAAATAAGGGTGAGTACAATAAATAAACATTAGGTTGTATTAGGTAGAGCAGGACGATCAGGCCATGCGGGCGTTGTCCAGGGTAGTCTGCTGGTAGGTGACCTGGTTGAGGTACTCGAGATCCCAACTCTTCGGGTTTGGCAGATCCCTGAAAGCTTGCATTAAAAGTATAGAGATTTGTCTTACCTTTCCACGATGTACTTGAGCACGTCCATTCCGCGCTGGGCATAGTCCCTGGCACAGTAGAGGGGCGTCGGGATGGAGGTAGTAGCCGTGTTGTACTGATGCAAGTGGCAGAGACCGTAGGCTTGCATTTGGAAGTCTGCCATCGTCCGCTTCTTAGACGTGTCGACGCAGATAGTGTACTTCGGCACTTTGATGGTTCCCTAGAAAAATATTTTGCGACGATGCGTGTAATTATACCTGAAGGGGCATGCAGGCCGATAGGAAGAACTCGGATCGGCTCGGGTGGGTCACTTCCTGATCGACGATCAACCCAGGTCTAACGTTCTGTTCGGAGCATTTTCCATTTGCCGGCGGGTTCTAGGGGACTATGGAGATAGAATACCAAGACAAACCTCAATGAAGAAGCGTTCCGCGTGGTCGAGCGAAACGACGACCACAGAAATGTTGTGCTCGATCTTCATCGGTAGCAGATTTTCGCGAAGTTTCTGGACGGCGTTGCGTGCAACCTAGAAAAAAGAAATCATTGGCTAAAGGCAAAAAAATTTACCCTGGCCATCTGCCCTTCAGAGACACCACCAATATAGATATCGAAATCGAGTTTCGTTGGCTTCGGACGATACTTCTTCATCCGCATGATGACCTGTTTGAACACCGGATCGAGGCACGGCTAAAGAGGATACAGATCAGTATACCAAAATCACAAGTATACCTCCGTTTCGCGGGCGCGCACATACATGAAATTGCCAGTGTAGAGGACGGGATGGCCAAGGCAGTTTGCAGACCAGCCGACGACCGAAGCCGAATTTTCCTTCTCTCCAGAGGTGGTGTGGCTCATCTCGATGCCGATAATGATGCGCTCCTTGTTGTTGACCAGCTTCTGCATCCTAAACAAAAGAATTACATCAAGGGCGAAGAGCCTTACGCGTCCTCACGAAATTTGACATCGTGATTGAGCCCCTTGTTCTTGATGTTCGTCTTGAGCAAGATGTTGTCGAAGGTGACGCCCTGTTGCCTTTGAACGGCCGAGCGGGCGACATTCATCAGCACTTCTTGCGTGGGAATGTTGTACTTCAGCTCGAGGTACTTCAATTCCTCTGAAAAGGAAACTAAAATATTGCAATCCCGAAGCTTACTGTGGGCGGTGTAGTACTTCTCGGAAATCACCATCACGAACTGCGAGCCCCTCTCCTTAGCGGCTATCATGTTCTGCTCCAGCTCCTCGGGACCAATATGGAGCTAAAAAACGGGTTGTAGATAAAATAACAAGGGCTTTACCTTCACAGGCTTATCATCGAGTGCCAGACCGCGAGCTGCGCCACGTGTCACGAGTTGATTGACAAAATCACTATGAAGGATTTGAAAAGTAAATGATTAATTACCCGACGTGCGACAAGTTGTGCTGCTCCACGAGACCCCACACCTCCCACTTCGCAACAGGTTTGGCGGGGCCGAAATACTTGTTTCGCTCAAGGCGCCAACGTCCAGAAGCATCCGGGTTTTCTCCTTTCTGCCCGCCGTAGATGATTTGCGGTTGAGCCAGGGTGCGGGCCGTGGTGAGCTACAAAAATTATGGAAAAAGTGATACACCGTACCTTCATCAGCTCCTGCGATCCCAATGAGAAGCCAGTCTTGTCTGTGAAATCAGGACCCGTCAAATTCAGTGCATTCAGGCCCTTCTGAATTTGCTTAGCGCGCTCGATGGGAGCAAGAGCGGAGGCCTAAGTAAAATGTAAGAGAATAAATTACGAAATTACCTTCAGGATCCTCTCACTCTGCTGTGGGTATTCTTGCTGCTTGCGAACTTTCTGATGCGGGCAAACGGCGAGAAGTTCGATCGGGAAGAAGCTGTCCCGACGATCACGCACCAGCGGCCAGTTCGGATGCCTAAAAGAAAGGCGTTTCATATGGTAATAACAAACTTGAGGTTGATGCGATAACGATCTTTGAAAAATTGGGCGATAGTCGTGGGCTCGCCCTGCAACTTGACCTCATTGGCGCTTCCAGCAAAACTTCCGATCGTGAATGAACGAGCGTCAGGGCGATGAGTGGGAACCACTTCAAGATCTGCAACAAGGTCGGATCCGGGAAAAGGGTTAAGAACGTACGTTTCAGAGCTGCCTGGACCACAGGCGATCGGATGGCCTGCAAGATATCGAAGCGTCCGCCGCGTTGGCCACCCTGGCCCATCCAGATGGCCTCGATCTTCTGGGAGAGGTCGGTGGCCATGTGCATCGGGTGTTTGGAGATGTCGACGATCAGGGAGAAGCTGGGCGATGGCTTGCCAGACTGTTGAAGATGGCCCTTGTTCTGTTGCATTTGCAGCTTGGCTTGTCCCTCACGCTTCGCGTCGATGAGCTTGACACTCTTCTTGATAGCCGGCACCGCCTAAAAGAATAGAAGGTAAGATACTCATTATAAACGCACGATGGCGTTCCCGGTAACGTCGGGCGCTTCTGCCTGTGTGAACTGCGTATTGTTGGTGTCGACGACCAAGATTTCGTTCTTCGAGATCAGGAAGGTCTCCCTAAAAAAGACGTAAGTTACAAATTCAAATGTTACAGGTCAGCAGAGATCTGGTGAGACACGGCAATGTTGGCGTATTCCATGAATAGATTGTCAGGAGTGCTGGAGGAACACTAAACCCGAAGTGTAACACCTTCAATGAATATACCTGGAACTTGTCTTTGCATTGCTTGAACGTAATGTCGATCTTCACAGCATTTGTGCACCTTGGCAAGTGCTTGATGTCCTCGTTGGAAAAGGAGAAGACGAGACCTTCTTCCTAAAAAAAAGAGTAGAAAAAAGACAATTTAAGTTATACCTCATTTGGGATCTTGACTTTCTCTTGCGAATAAATCGAAGCCGCGCAGTCGGAAACGTGGCGGTTTGCAAAATTCCTCGGAAAACATTCGGCCTTCTTCTCGAACAACAACGCGAGGATCAGCCGCTGGAGCTTCTTCCTTTCGGTTTCCCCGAAACTAAAATAATCGATTTTAAAAAACCGACAAAAACTAACTCTTCACGCAGAATCTTTGTGACTTCGTACGGCCTCCCGGTCGCGTTGAACAGTATGGTTACTAAAATAAAGTTTTTATAACCTTGAAAAAATTACTGTAAACGGTGTATTTGTAGATGGCGACATTGGGTCCCACACGAAGCTGGAACGCATTCACAAGGATGTTCTTCAACGGGACACCACCCGTACCGGGAGCCAGTTTCCCGACGAGCGGGATCACAGCAGGCTTTTCGTCGACCATGCTGAAGTTCAAATGTAATAAAGGAAGGAAATGATCAACAGCTTTTGTGGAATTATCGAAGAAAAAAAAGACTAGTTTGGTAGATGCAAACGTTAGCCGGAGAATCGAGAACCCAATGGAGCTTCAAAAAAACATTTCAAATAAATAGTGTTGATAAAATCTCGTAAGCATTGCCTGGCAATCGATGTGAAAAAAAAGCTAAAGCTCGCGTAAGCTTTGGCACTATTGGATCAGACGGCAGAACGAGGACGGTAAATCAAAACTGATATAGTAATCGAGAGTAGATTCAGGCTTAGTGCTTTGCCATTCCGTTTTAGTGCAAGGTTTTAGATAAAGCTCCCACGAATTCAAAACTTTCAAAAGGCGCGGTTTTCTCTGCGGCCAAAATCGCAAGAGGCAAAAACGGGGTGGAAGGCAAGGAAAAACGGTGGTGGAAAGGAAAAGAAAACGGCTCATTGTACAATCGCAAACAGAACATTTCAGAAGGGGTTTCTTTATTGTTGTTTTGAGAACGCGCGGCTTACTCTGCGGTGAAAGGCGCCGGCGAAAAAAATCGCATAAGCCAAATTGGAGAGAGCGGGGTGCGAGGAGGGGCCAGACTGAAATGAAAACACCCCGCTGCCCGATTGAACGGGCGGATACCGTAACCGCGCGTGTAAATTGGAGTGTCGCGGGTCTGATGGTCCGTGTTTTAGGGGACCATGCCATCTCCGCCAGTGACATTTACGCCAATTTGAGGCCAAAAACATACAAAAATTTCTAAATGAAATATTTTCTTTGTGTTTTTGGTGCTAATAAATTGAATTAACCAACGTACAGGCTAGTAGGGAAGAAATTACGATCCGGAGGCCTGTTTTAGGCATCATATAACGCCTTTTACCCTTTCCGGCGCAAATTCTGATGTTCAAGAGAAACCATCATATCCTTGTTATTTTTTTCTGTAATATCCAGATCCGAGCAAGAAAAAATTGTCCGGCTTGTATAGCTTATTTCACAAGCATGTTGGCCTTTGGCGGAAATGTCATGGTCCTGTGTTTTAACCTGGAATGTATGCGTAATTCATTAGTTGAAAGCCCTTTATTGTACTAAATCCATTGAATAGAACATTGGAAAGTGTGAAAACAGCACCCGTGACTCTGGTCCCCTGCTGAGACTTCTGGGGAACATAACGGATACAAAAGGATCGGATTAAACAAACAATGCATACAGACAATGAAGGCATTCGGGGGAGGGGGAGCAAGTGGCAAGCACGGTGAAAATAATTAGTATATATCAAATAGGGCCAAGATAGTTAGGTGCCAAAAATTTTGCGATATATGGCGAGGCTGGCTGCGACGTCGTTGTGGCGAGCACGTCTAAAAAGCGGGATAAGTATAGACCAAATTCGACTTACACCAACGCCTGCTTAGTGACCAGCAAATGGTCGTCGTCAATGTCGGTGATGACCTCGCGAATGTCGGCCAATTTCCTTCTCTTCATAGCCTCTCCGTTTCTTGTGCTCTGATAAGTGGCGCGTCTGACGCAATTCTAAAAAAAGCTTTTATGGCTCAGAGAAGATGCTAACCTCTCTAGGGAGGACTCCAAATAACTTTGCTTCCCGGAAATCGGCTTCGCTTGGTTGTTGGTCATCATCGGGTCTAAAAAAACACGATATATCGGAGATAATGATAAAACCTTGGCGGGAGTTCCACAGAGACGACGGCCTTCGTATTTTTGCAAGACCCTCGGTGGTGAGTCATCAAATCCGAGTTGTAAGTTGTAAAGTTGCACCCGCATTTCAGTTGAACTCTAAAGCTGCCTGCTTCATAAGATTTATGGTAAACCCCACCTTCCAATCTTTTTCTTATTCAGCCCGTCTCGTTCGAATTCGTGTGGGATTCCCTTCTTGAAGAATTCTCTCGAGTTTTGCTGGCAGAAGGAGCACTTTGTCTGTTCACAAGGGCATTGACAGATCACGCACTTGTTTTTCAACTTCTGAAAAGGGATAGGTCACATAATTAAACGGTTTTTACCTTCTGTTCGGGGTGTATTTGCAGTTTGCTGGAAGTGGAGGTTTGCCATGCGTTTTTGGTCTAAATTCGCGTTTATAGCTAATTTTTAAAGGAAATCTTACCGCTTTGACGTTCCAACTTGGCGGTATCACGCCCGTATGGTCAGCATGTTGATGTGCGTGCAATTCAGTGCGTGTTAGAAAAGCGTAAGCGCACAGGCGGCAACGATACGTCTGCCCAACTGCAATTGAGGGTGAAAAGGCGGATTTTTTTCCTTACCTTGGACATGCTTCATAAAATGGTCAATGAGCGATCGGCAATGGATGGCATCTTTGCTTGTGCGCAGCTGGCTCCGAGAAATATATTCGACGTAGGGGCAAAACGGGCACCAGAGCAATGTGGTATCCCGGTGCATCTGCAATAAGGCATGTCACTTCGTCCTGAAAATGCCAAAACCTGGGAATAATGGTCGAACAAGTTCATTCTCTGCGACGCCCGAAATTCGCACGAACGGACCTTGCACACGTAGGGGGAATCCTGGAAAACGTAGCTTTTTATATATTTTGATAGCGGAAAGCTTATCCCTCTAGCCCGACAATTGGTTTTTACTAAACAACCCCAAGCATCTAAGAAACATACATTTATTCGGTGTTGGCTAAGATGACCTCGCAAATCCATCTGTTCTGTTTCACAGATAGCGCAGTTGGATTCATTTGTCGATTCAGGGACGCGGGAGTGAGTACGAGTATAATGGCACTAAATTCAGCGTTGTTATCTTGGGCATGAATTTACCTGTAAGTCATAAGGGCTTTTGAAAGCATGACGACACTGGGTGCATCGTGTTAGTGTTTCCACATCGGCCAAGCCTCGCTTTGCGAGCATTCGGTGATGGGACAATGGTCTCGATAGTCGCTCGAACGGTGTGGCCTCATCTGGATTACAGTTTTTCACTATTTCAAAAACTCACTGAAATGCGCCCATAAATGACAGATCATGTGGCCGTTGCCGTATATTAATTTGTTGCAGTCCATGTAGGTGCACTAAACATAATTTTTATAATTTCTAGGTATTTTGGATATACCTTAAATGTGATTCCGTCGACTTCATAGCCCCGATCATAGCGCCCTGTCGCGACGAGTTTATATCTATCCAGGCGCGCTTTATCGACCCGATCCGGCAATTTTATATGCCTGAAAAGACTTAAGCTCAAAAATTAAAGCCTTACGAAGGGATATTTCCGTTTGGCAATGGTCGCTTGATCGGGACGGCGCCGTTTTTGTGAACTGCGACTGGCAGTTGGTAGGGTGGCCTTACAAGGGCAGACTGAGCTCTTGCGAGATTCACGCCTAAAGAATTTATGGTTTTCGGCTGATTTCTTACCAGTGCCCCCACGCTGCAACAGCAATGCGAGGTCGATGGGCTCGAGGACGCTCACTTCGACGTGGGCCTTTGTAGTGCTAGTGACCGGGGCTTCGTCATCGGATAGTTCCACCACCTCCACATTATTCATGCCCTGAATATGGGTTAAATTCTTTTCTTCAATTCATTCAAGCACGTTTGATGGCAAATCCAGTCCCGAAAAACGCATAAAATTTCAATCCGTTTATGCATAGTCTCAAAATCAACCGTCAATAACAAAAATGAAACAACGTGTACACAAAAAAAAACTCAAAAACTGCTCTTCTTCATAAGGAGGTAGATGTACTTGTCCAATTCGAATTCTTGCAGGTTGAAGGCGTCGCCGCGAAGCCGCATCAAGAGCCCTGGAAAAACGGAAACTTTTTCGATTGCATTTGGAAAACTTTTACTATCTGGCAGTAGCCAAATAAATGCAAAATCCGTTAAACTTTCTGTATTCACCTCCAAATGATGCATAGACGTCGAGATTTTGGCTGTCCTTATCGTGGCCGGCTTCGCCACCTTCAATTCGGTAGATTTTGCCGTACATCACGTATTCAAACTGCGCTGCTCTCGTGGATTCAGCCTGAAAAAATAGAGAATTATAAAAGAAAATCACCTGTTGATCATAGACACCTTCCTCGGCACCGCCGTCTTCTCTCAATGTGGTTGCTAGCACAAGTCGAAACTGCTCGTTCAGGTCCACGGGATACATCTGCGTATTGACATCCAAGATTAGGTTCATTCTAAAGTAAAAACTATATTTTCGTAAATAAAATGCAAATACCGCATCGTTTCTGAATCGCAGAAGAGCCGGCTGACGCGATCAAATTTCTTTCCATCGGGATCGACGTCTTTCACTGTGAACATGTCGTCAATCAAAATTCCCGACATCTGAAAAACGAAACGTTATAGATATCAGGATTCAATGGATCGGCTTCTGAATCGCCGTGGCGCCGAAGTGAACCTAAGCAACGAGTGGTTATATGCTGGATTTTGAACAAATTTTTGATAGATAGTATACTATAAGGTTAATCATCGAAATGGAAAAGTAATTCTAGTATGAAAATGCGCCTAAAGGCGGGCGACCATGGGGGGAATCGGTAGGCAGAAGACGAAAAAATCGATATCGCGCGCGTAAGGCCATGGCAAAAGAAAGACAGAGAGCCCCTCTCCGCCCTCCATATGCATTGTTGGTTACCCTCCACCAGCTCGTCATACGCGTGAAATAGTGTGGAAAATGAAGTGAAAAATAGACTAGACTTAAAATTCACTTTGAACGTTTTCAGGTTGACCGGTTTGCTGGCAAAATTCTAAATTTTCTAGAGGTGCCGCCACCTTTAAAACGAAATAAAGAAGATAGTGCAACGCATGTTGCGTTGTAAGGTTTTATAAAAATTTGATTTCTTTCTAAAATTATATTATTTTAGTTTTTAGGGAGTGAATTATCGAGGGTCACTAGGCTGAAAAGAGAAAGCCACGCGGCAGTCACTATTCATGCAGAGAGTTGGGGCGTTGACTGGAGCGCCACGTTGTTGCCAACGCCGGACTACAACGAACACCTTACCTATTACAATCCTGGCCTAAATTTATATATGGTTTAGCTAAAATGCGATGCTACCGATGCGCGCGCAAGAAAAGAAAATAGAAAAAAAAACCTAGGAATTCCTATTAGTGTAGAGATTGCGCGGGATCATAGAAACGCCTCATAGCTGGTGTTGGCAAGGCCAGACTACAATGAACACTGTTACCTAATGAATTTCTACACATCGATTTCAACGTGTCTGACACTTCAATCGAGGTGTCAGGTGTCAGGTGTTTCAAGCGGATAGAATGCTTTGTGAATTTTGTAATGCTGTGTTTATTATCGATCACCCCGCCAAACAAATCCGTTTAATTGAGATCCTTTTCTGACTTTGGTTTCCGGAGAAATATGTGGAAAACGAGGAATGAGAGCACAATGAGGGCGATCAACATGACCGGGATGAAGGGGAGGATTTGTGAGGGGACGCAGAAGAGGCCGGGGTGTTGACCTCGGAGTCGTGAGGCGTCTTCGGGGTCGAGCACAAGCAGGCTGCGCGTCGCCACATCAAGCTAAGCATTGTATATTGGTAATGGTTTCTCGATTTTGTGGATACCTCCATGTTTCGCAGCGACAAATCTGCGGCTTCACGACGCGTTCGATTGGATGGCGCTTCTTCGGGGCCGCATTTTGGGGGCTAGAGCGGGTTTGGTGTTTTTTTGGCCTTGTTTTTCAAATTTACCGTGACCCCCTGGCAGTTGCCCATCGTCTTTTGGCATAGACGGATTTGGCAGGTGAAGTATAGTTGGTTTGAGTCGGCGTATTTGAAGACCTTACATTTTTTGGTAGTTTTACATGAAAAGCTTACTTACTTGGCTCGTTGCGTGGGCTCTCATGAGGTTGATGTCATAGGTGAGGTCGGATAGTAGGCCGCCATCGGTTGAACATCTAGTTTTATGGTTATTATTATAATTGTTTGTATTTTGTAGTTTTATAGGTTTTCTGGACCATAAAGCAATTGTAAAAACAGAATAAAATGTCTTTTCCTTTTCCATTTTTTTTGGCTACAAAGAAGCTCACAGAAAATAAAACGCGATAGATCGTCTAGTTTTATAATTTTTATTACTTTGATTTCTGTGTTTTTAGTTTGGTAGGTTTTTTTGGATCGTGAGCCTCGAATTGAAAATAGAATACCTTTCCCGCTTTTCCCTTTCAAACTATAAAAGCTTTTATACAAGCTACATACAGACAAAGCTTACCCCTCGGGATTGATGACGGCATGTTCATCACCATCCCCATCATTGACGGCGCATTTCTTGACGAGCATCCCCATCTCGGCTCCCTTGCACTCCCACACGTGGAATACCTGGATTCAACGTTGTATATACTTTTTCTTCAGTTTTCCCCACCGTTTCTCCCACATTTGCAAACGATAGAACAGGGCCATGGGGTCCGTCTCGTCGCACAGAGTAGTCGCATGTGGGCATCGGCATGTCGTCGGCAATTTCGGTGGTTGGTAGATGGCTAAAAAAAGCGGATGTGAGGACGGTTTGAAGGTGTTAAGTCGATTGGAACAGTTAGAAAGACAATATCACGACACTTCCTGCCCAGGTTGTTCGTGTTCGGTTTGGCATAAAACTACTAAAAACAGAATTCTATGGAAAAACGAGGGTGCTTTATGTAATTACGGGCCCTTGACCGCAACGCCAGCCGCTGCGCGTGAAACTGCGCTTTATCAAAGTTGTGTATCGTATCTAAGACTGACTAAATGAACTCAAAATTTTGCAATTGTAACGAATTTTTGTAATGAAATCACGGTCGGATTTACTCACTTGACTTCCATATGTGATGTTACAACCTCTTCGGGTTCCGTGTAGAAGCACTTGACGTGGAAAGCACGGTCATTTTTTGTGATGAAGCCTGATGGGTGGAATGAGACGATGACGGTCACCGAGAAGTGGATCCCGCGTGGGTTTGCCTGGAAAATTGAGGTTCTTTCAAACGTTGTCCACTACTTTACGATCTCGACACCTCGGGTTCGACCCCCGCGCGGCGGATTTTTTGCTTTTTGATGAAATGCAGAGTCTTTACTTACCGATCGCAACCGTTGCATTCCGCATTGGCCAAGGGGTAATGAATATGTGTTGTTCGATCCATCAGCGTAGGATTGGCGGCAGCTTTTGTCCTTGGCGCGGCCCTGGAAATGGATAGATTTTAATGTTTTGACGACTAGGAAGTTCGTAGGAGATTGAGGAATAACTCTCGTATATATATATATATATATATATATATATATATATATATATATATATATATATATATATATATATATATATATATATATATATTATTTATTATATATATATATATATATATATATCAGGTTGGAAAGAAGTATGGCAAAAATCTTTAAACCGCTGTAAACCCGCAGGAACGTCCGATTTAAAGTTGATATTGGTTTGGTAGATCTTCGGATGCTCTATCACGAGACGACCATCAAAACGCACAAAAACTGACGGACGCGAAGATACGGCCTCAGGGTTTCGCAGAAAATTAGGCGCTTCCAAGCGAGATATCTGTATACGGCATTTGCATCGATACTTTTAACACCAATCGATAGCCCTCGAGGAGTAGATATCGATAGATGTTGAGATCATCAAAATCCGACACTGGATGGCCGAGATATGGGCCTTCCAAAATCAATGCATTTTCTGGATTTTGGTTCGGGAGCTGAAGCAAACGCAGCAGTTTTTGGCTCGCGCATGCTTAAATGTATGGGATTTCGAGAAAAGTTCTAAGAAGTGGACCAAATTTCTAGGGCCTGGATCTCGGCCATCCATTGTCCGATTTTGATGATCTCAAGATTTATCGATATCTACTCCTCGAGGGCTATCGATTGGTGTTAAAAGTATCGTATGCAAATACCTGTATGCAGAGATATCTCGCTTGGAAGCTTTCGCCTAATTTTCTGCGAAACTCCTGAGGCCTGTATCTTCGCGTCCGTCAGTTTTTGTGGGTTTTGAGGGTCGTCTCGTGATAGAGCATCTGAAGATCTACCAAACCATATATCATACTTTTAAATCGGACGTTCCTGCGGGTTTTTACGCGGTTTAAGATTTTGTGCCATTACTTTCTTTCCAACCTGTTATTACCAGACTGGCAAGTGGCCGCGGCCCGGCCCGGCCGGCCCGGCCGTAGCTACCCTGGCCGGCCGCGGCCGGCCGCATTGAAATTAGCATAATCCCGGTCCCGCGGCCGTCTCCAAAGGTCTCCGGCCGCGGCCGGCCGCTGCTGCACCATGGCGAAATTGACCTATTTTTGGTTTGGTTGATTTTATGTTTGCATGTTTCTGAAGGAGGCAACGAGCGGTTCATTGCAAAGCCGCGGCCGGCCGCGGCCGGCTGGGCCAGGTGTTTTTGCGGCCCGGCCCGGCTGCGGCCGGGTATTTTGCGGCTTTGCGGCCGGCCCCGGCCGCGAAAATTTGCATGCGGCTTCCGGCCGGCCGCGGCGGCCGTTTTGCCATGTCTGATATAAACCATCAAAAAAGTCCAGAAATGAGAGTTCAATTTTGAAAAAGTCCATGAAAATTTAAGCTTTTGGACCGCCGATTAAACCACACCCAGCTCAGCCATTTCTGTACAAATTTTTACGATTAAAAGATGTAAAACGCTCAGAATTTTGCGAGAATTGCAATGAACTCAAAAATTCCAACAAATCCCCTTTTCCAAAAAAAAAACAAAAAAAATAAATTGCAGTTTATTAAGAATCAAAATACCATTGTAATACTGCCTTTTTTGGCTATGAAAATTTGAATATACTATTTTTTCACCGAAATTTTGCTAAAATACGTAAAATCCTTTAGAATTACCCCCTAATGTGTTTATTTTTTGTTGTTAAATTGTATTAAATCTGTTTAAAAAGCAACAGTTTAAAGCTATTTGGCTAGAGTTTTGCTAAACTTCATTTTTGTTTTTTTCTTATTACGTCTATAATTATATTTTTTTGCGTTCTTGTTAAAATAATGTAATGACACCCATACCTTGACAAATATATTTCCCCTGAATGGAGCCTTGGTGGTGATGTCGAGTCCGAGGTCATTCTCGGCACACATTACCCGGGGTGTGCCTGAAAAATGAGCCGTGCAAAAAAGCGGGATAATTTTGTGTAAATTTGGGCGTTGATTGATGGGCTATGGGACGTTGGGTGTGTCCTTGGGTGTCTCGTGTAGTCTACGGTGGATCGTGATGGAAAGAAACGAGCTTACCGACAA